CACACTAGTCATTGAGTCTCAGTAAAAGGCTGAGGTCAGTGTCTGCTGAGTGGACGTGAACCCAGCGGCAGCAGCTCATGACTGGACAGAACCACACACACACACACACACACACACACACACACACACACACACACACACTGCTCACTCAGCAGCGTTCACACAATACATCCCCTGCTGCATCCCTTAGAGCGCTGCTGTTGCTGACGATGATGATGATGATGATGATGACGATGCTGGGTCAGTGTGTGTTTTTGTGTGGAGTTTGCATGTTCTCCCCGTGTTGGCGTGGGTTTCCTCCGGGTGCTCCAGTTTCAGTCCAAACACATGCGCTATAGGGGAACTGATCAACTACACTGGCCGTAGTGTATGAGTGTGTGTGGGTGTGAGAGAGAGAGAATGAGTGTGTATGGGTGTTTCCCAATACTGGGTTGCAGCTAGAAGGGCATCCACTGTGTAAAACAAATGCTGTTGGTGTTTCATTCCGCTGTGGCCACCCCTGATGAATAAAGGGACTCAGCTGAAGGAAAATGAATGAATGAATGTGTGTGTGTGTCAGCATTTGTGTTTGTGTCATTGTGTGTGTGTGTGTGTGTGTGTGTGTGTGTGTGTCAGTTGTACAGTGCTGCAACAGGAGTGTATTGATTTATTCCTGTGAGTAAAACAGGCTGTGTTTATTTAGTGTGTCTCAATCTCTGCACTGAAAGCACTGCATGGGTGTGTGTGCGTGCAAGTGTGTGTGTGTGTGTTCGTTCATTTATTCATTTTCCTTGAACTCAGTCTCTTTATTCATCAGGAGTCATCACAGCAGAATGAACCGCCAACTATTCCAGCATATGTTTTACACAGTGGATGGCATTCCAGCTCCAACCCTGTACTGGGAAACACCCATACACACTCATTCTCTCACACACACACTCATACACTACAGCCAGTGTAGTTGATCAGTTCCCCTATAGCGCATGTGTTTGGACTGAAACCGGAGCACCCGGAGGAAACCCACGCCAACACAGGGAGAACATGCAAACTCCACACAGAAACACACACTGACCCAGCTGAGGCTCAAACCAGTGACCTTCTTGCTTTTAAGGTGCTTGTGCTCCCCGCTGCGCCACTGTGATGCTGTGAAACTAAGATAAAAGCTTTATGAATTATTGTCTGAAGCTGATGATGATTCGTATTATTAGTAGTATTAATGTCAATAAATGACAGACATTTTAATAAATAAAAGTGTAAAATTTTCATCTGTTTGATGAAATAAAATTCCTTCATTTAATATTTATACCAGCCATAAATATAGCCTAGCTGCCATATATATATATATGTATGTGGAATAATTTTAATTCACATAGATGAGCTACTTTAATTGTTTAAAATAACAATTAATCTCATTAGCATATTTGATGATGGAGACATGACATATGGAGATTGTTCCAGTGATTGTGTCATGATTCAGTGCTGTTTCTGGTGTCAGCGCTGCTGCAGCTCAGTGCAGATGAGGATACACACACTCACTGAACCGCTGCATTATACATGACACTGCTGGAGCTGGAACACACACACACACACACACACACAGACACACATTACTCTGGAGTGCTAAAATGTGGTGTGTTTTGTGTATTTCAGGACCGTAAGCTGTCCACACACACACACACACACACACACACACACACACACACTTATTGGCTGCAGTGTTGATATGTGGTGTGTTTGTGTGTGTTTCAGGACCGTAAACTGTCCACACACACACATTCATTGGCTGGAGTAGTGATATGTGGTGTGTTTCGTGTGTGTTTCAGGACCGTAAGCTGTCGAAGGCCGAGCGGCAGCGCTTTAAAGAGGAGGCTGAGATGTTGAAAGGTCTCCAGCATCCCAACATCGTGCGCTTCTACGACTTCTGGGAGTCTCCGCTCAAGGGGAAGAAATGCATCGTGCTGGTCACCGAGCTCATGACGTCAGGAACGCTCAAAACGTGAGAGGACACAACGTTCAGCAAACCTTTCATTCAGCGCCGAGAGCTCTCCCGTACAAGTGTTGGCTTCAGTTTCCTCTTAAATTTGCTCATAATGATGATTTGTGGAGGATTACAGCGAGAAGACTGAAGCTGAGAGTGAAAGATGAGAGGCGGAGCTAAACTGAACACCCCGCCCCCTACTCCATATTCAGATTCAGTTGTAAATACGTTGTCATACTGAAATAAGTTTGCTGAGTGACAGGTGAGAGGCGGAGCTAAAGAGAAAGCCCCGCCCCCTAATCAATATTCCTTTTTCGTTGTAAATACGTCATCACACTGATCAAAGTTTGCTGTTAGTGAAAGATGAGAGGCGGAGCTCAAAATGAAATCCCCGCCCCTACTCAATATTCAGTTTGAGATGTAAACGCATCATCACTCTGATATAAGCGTCTCGGCAGCTTTCGCACAGGACTTTAAGCACTTGCTGTATGTAAATTCTCAGCTGTGGGAATACTGAGAGTTTCTGGGTGGTTCTGAGCTGTGCTCCGCTGTCTCCTGCAGGTATCTGAAGCGCTTTAAGGTGATGAAGCCCAAAGTGCTGCGCAGCTGGTGTCGGCAGATTCTGAAAGGTCTGCATTTCTTACACACGCGCGCTCCTCCCATCATCCACCGAGACCTGAAGTGCGACAACATCTTCATCACGGGTCCCACCGGCAGCGTCAAGATCGGGGATCTGGGTCTGGCCACGCTCAAACGGGCCTCCTTCGCCAAGAGCGTCATCGGTGAGACTGGCGAAAGCTAGTTGCTAATTGTTTGCTAGGTAGTTGCTATCCTGTTGCTAAGGTGTTTTGGGCAGTTGCTAAGGTATTGAATGTGGCTGTTTTGCAGTTACTAGGGTGTTCTGGGTAGGTGTTAGTATGTTGCTAGGTAGCTGCTATCCTGTTGCTAAGGTGTTTTTTGGGTGGTTGTTAGGCAGTTGTTAGGGTGTTGTGGGCAGTTGCTAGTTGGTTGATAGGTAGTTGCTATTCTGTTGTTAAGGTGTTTTGGGTGGTTGCTAGGCAGTTGCTAAATTATTGTTTGTGGCTGTTTTGCAGTTGCTAGAGTGTTCTGGGTAGTTGCTAGTTGGTTGCTAGGTAGTTGCTATGCTGTTGGCAAGGTGTTTTGGATGGTTGCTATGCAGTTGTTAAGGTATTGTAGGTGGTTGCTATGCAGTTGCTAAGGTGTTGTGGGTAGATTCTAGGTAGTTGCTATCCTGTTGCTAAGGTGTTTTGGGTGGTTGCTAAGCAGTTTTCTAAGCTATTGTAGGTGGTTGCCATTCAGTTGCTAGGTAGATGCTAGTTTTTTGTTAGGTAGTCACTATCCTGTTGCTAAGGTGTTTTGGGTGGTTGCTAAGCAGTTGCTAAGGTGTTCTGGGTAGTTGCTTGTTGGTGCTAGATATTTGCTGTGCTGTTGCTAAGGTGTTTTGGGTAGAATCGAGGCTGTTACTATGCTGTTTGTTTCTGGATGGTATCTGTGCATTGTTATGCTGTTGCTAAGGTGTTTTGGGTGACATTCGGGGTGTTGCTATGCTGTTAATAAGGTGTTTTGGCTGGTATCTAAGGTGTTGATGTGCTGTTTGTTTCTGGGTGGAATCTGTGCATTGTTATGCTGTTGCTAAGGTGTTTTGGGTGACATTCGGGGTGTTTCTATGCTGTTGATAAGGTGTTTTGGCTGGTATCTAAGGTGTTGATGTGCTGTTTGTTCTGGGTGGTATCTGTGCATTGTTATGCTGTTGCTAAGGTGTTTTGGGTGACATGCGGGGTGTTGCTATGCTGTTGCTAAGGTGTTTTGGGTGACATTCGGGGTGTTGCTATGCTGTTAATAAGGTGTTTTGGCTGGTATCTAAGGTGTTGATGTGCTGTTTGTTTCTAGGTGGTATCTGTGCATTGTTATGCTGTTGCTAATGTGTTTTGGGTGACATTCGGGGTGTTGCTATGCTTCTGCTAAGGTGTTTTGGGTAGTATCTAGTGTGTTACTATGCTGTTTGTTTCTGGGTGGTATCTGTGCATTGTTATGCTGTTGCTAAGGTGTTTTGGGTGACATTCGGGGTGTTGCTATGCTGTTGCTAAGGTGTTTTGGGTAGTATCGAGGCTGTTACTATGCTATTTGTTTCTGGGTGGTATCTGTGCATTGTTATGCTGTTGCTAAGGTGTTTTGGGTGACATTCGGGGTGTTGCTATGCTGTTGCTAAGGTGTTTTGGGTAGTATCGAGGCTGTTACTATGCTATTTGTTTCTGGGTGGTATCTGTGCATTGTTATGCTGTTGCTAAGGTGTTTTGGGTGACATTCGGGGTGTTGCTATGCTGTTAATAAGGTGTTTTAGCTGGTATCTAAGGTGTTGATGTGCTGTTTGTTCTGGGTGGTATCTGTGCATTGTTATGCTGTTGCTAAGGTGTTTTGGGTGACATGCGGGGTGTTGCTATGCTGTTGCTAAGGTGTTTTGGGTGACATTCGGGGTGTTGCTATGCTGTTAATAAGGTGTTTTGGCTGGTATCTAAGGTGTTGATGTGCTGTTTGTTTCTAGGTGGTATCTGTGCATTGTTATGCTGTTGCTAATGTGTTTTGGGTGACATTCGGGGTGTTGCTATGCTTCTGCTAAGGTGTTTTGGGTAGTATCTAGTGTGTTACTATGCTGTTTGTTTCTGGGTGGTATCTGTGCATTGTTATGCTGTTGCTAAGGTGTTTTGGGTGACATTCGGGGTGTTGCTATGCTGTTAATAAGGTGTTTTGGCTGGTATGTAAGGTGTTGATGTGCTGTTTGTTTCTGGGTGGAATCTGTGCATTGTTATGCTGTTGCTAAGGTGTTTTGGGTGACATTCGGGGTGTTGCTATGCTGTTGATAAGGTGTTTTAGCTGGTATCTAAGGTGTTGATGTGCTGTTTGTTTCTGGGTGGTATCTGTGCTTTGCTATGCTGTTGCTAAGGTGTTTTGGGTGGCATGCGGGGTGTTGCTATGCTGTTGCTAAGGTGTTTTGGGTAGTATCGAGGCTGTTACTATGCTGTTTGTTTCTGGGTGGTATCTGTGCATTGTTATGCTGTTGCTAAGGTGTTTTGGGTGACATTCGGGGTGTTGCTATGCTGTTAATAAGGTGTTTTGGCTGGTATCTAAGGTGTTGATGTGCTGTTTGTTTCTAGGTGGTATCTGTGCATTGTTATGCTGTTGCTAATGTGTTTTGGGTGACATTCGGGGTGTTGCTATGCTTCTGCTAAGGTGTTTTGGGTAGTATCTAGTGTGTTACTATGCTGTTTGTTTCTGGGTGGTATCTGTGCATTGTTATGCTGTTGCTAAGGTGTTTTGGGTGACATTCGGGGTGTTGCTATGCTGTTGCTAAGGTGTTTTGGGTAGTATCGAGGCTGTTACTATGCTGTTTGTTTCTG